TGATCATTAGGTGCACCGTTTGTACTGAATCGCAGTAATACGAATGTTTGAATGATGAATTAACATTTTATTAATGATTGGTGTTACCGTTGTATCGCTTTGTTTAACGGAGCTAAGCATTGTTTGCACATGTTTATTTGACTTCTCCTGTCGTGGGCGTGTATTTCAGTGCTTGACTGCTGGGCATACTCACGGCAGTGTTTGACAACGTGTACATGGCTTTCACGCTTTAGAAGTATCGATCTGCTGTTTCAGTTTGCACCCGTTATTGTATTGGCATCAAGTCAAGATTTCGCTTAAGTTGTGTCGTTTATTTGACTAAAACAAATTTGAAACCGTGATTGTTAAGCACAATTGGAACATAACGTAAAGAATCTTGAAATTTAGCTATGTTTATTAAACACTGTCACACGAAATGGCAAAAGTGATTGGCAGGGTTGTATACTTGTACTGTTAGGCCGTTGGCGATCATCTTAATAATCATAAAAACACGGTTTCATACAGTTTGGTCATTTGAACGATCGGTCAGAACTGCTACAGTTGTTACCGAACTATTTGAGTTGTTTTTGAATTAATCGTTCTGATACACCCATTGCGTACTTCATCTTTCGTATGACACAGCAATTTTGATCTTCGTATAGTTCTATTTGAAATTTCTGTAATCACTCTACTGCGTGCATAGCATTTGGAGTGTTGTTTAATGCATAATTATGATAGTCGCAGAATTCTGAATATTTGCCGATTGCAACCGCATATAGATATTAGTAGTAAAATAATGCCATCAAAAATGTTAAAGTTCACATGAAGTGAGGAAACAGCCGTTAGTTGAAGAAAAGCTGCTGAAATCAGACATGAAATTGATTCTCAAATTAAAGTCGGTGGACGATAAGCAGCAGTGCAGTTCCAATTGCCTCCCGAGGATCTCTTCAAAATTCCAGAGATAAACAAGACAGCCCGCAGTAACTTCCAGTAACCCCGATTTACGGCGTTTGACTCTTACAATGGTTTTTCAGGTTAATATCGGGCAATTATTTCTGCTGCAACAAAAGTCACACTTCACATTACTCGTTATAAGCAGGTGTAGCCAGAATTGAGTTCTCTCCCAACGCATCTGCGGCCATTAAACCGCTTCAATTGGTGAAATGTTTCGAACAGATTTTCTTTCACTTTCTGGACTGTTTTATCAAACGGATCTCTGAATTCTGTTAGCATCTGAACAGCTGTTTGTCGGCGTCTGGTCGTCCATGACAAACTAGTCCGTGCACTTTGAGAATATTTCATAGACAGCATTGTTTAAACATTTTAGAACGAGCATCATTGCACTTCAACATCAAACAGTAAACTCCGCTGTGTTTGAGGTTTAATTGCAAGCTGATTTCTAGCAGCATTTGATATTAATTCCTTTGGGCATGGACTCTCATGTTTGTCCAATACAGGGGTTCCCTTCGATTTAGTCATTTATAGGTGGGTAACTTCCTCAGCAATGGTTTCTTGACTGCCATAGTAAAAATTTGTTTTGTTGGGCATTGTTTTCATGGGCACGTTTGCATAACTGTTAAGTAAATTGTTGCTGTTGTTGCACTGGTATTATTTTGAAGTTGATTATTTCGTTCGTTAGGCCATAATTTTAGCGATATGTGAATTTCAACGAGAAAGTGATTTTGAGCGTTATTTAAGTCGAGCCAGATCAGTGCTTTACTGTAGTTAATCGCTATTCCTACCTTTGTAATTTCCGTGCATCTATCTCCTCAAACCTCTTTACATTTCCGTTTTTTACTAATTGACTTTACACCACAGAAGCAGTTTGACTGAATATTGAACTTGTTCATCAGTGTATTTCGAGTAATCATTTAGTCAAGTAAATGATGTAAAGGACCATCGTAACTGGCAGCTTTCATTTAATTTCTAAGAATCATTCAGTTATTTTATTTCTTTTACCATGGATGCATCGTGAAGTCGGGTTATTGAAATATGAATCGTGTAGATCTGGCTTTGCGCTGCGCGTCTTGCAATATAGTCAAAAGAGCTTGGCCCCACATGGCGGACGACCGGCTCCAGTGGAAAAGCCT